TGAAATTTTCTTCAGTTTTAAAAAAGTTTCATTAAAGGATCTGGCTTGACGTTCCATCAAATCGGCAATTGCTGTTAAGTCATAATCTCCGTAAACTATATCTTTTTGATATCTTATATCTACTGAATCACCTAAAGAAATAAATTTAATTTTTGGATATTGTGGTGATTGCGGAAATGTTCCCGTTGTAATAAAAGTGACCTTTTTTTTTTTTTTAAAAAAAAAAAAAAAAGTTTGAAACAATTAATTGAGAAATTAATAATTATTTAACTTTGATTATTCACTTACATTATAGCCACGATCAGCCAAGACGTTTCCAATCGTCAAAGTATATCGAATATGACTCCATCCTAAAATTTAACCTAGCGAATCAATAAAAAGTTCTTAGAAAAAAAAAAAACAAAAAAAAAAATAATTTACCTTCTAAACTATTTACAACCATTATATTTTTTGGAATTTCACTACGATCAATATCAGTTTCTCTAGGAATCCATCCGCTTATTGGGGGACCTTCCACCACGGTGTCACCAGCAACATTACAAAACGAATTGCAAAGAATTATGAAGAGGAAGAACCCTGTTAAGGATGGTTGTTTGATTAACATTGAGGAAGTTAATGAAGGAAAAATTGCAAAAGAAAAGAAAGAAAAGAGAGAAATATTTATATGGGTGATGAGATTAAATTTTGGCGCAGTATTCATCAGAAACTATTATTATTGTGTAATGATAATGTTAGGTTGATGGTCAATGAGGCACAATGCGAATGAATTAAATGCTAGAATAATCTATTACAATTGTTCATTTCTGAAATAAGTAGGATAATCGTATCGCAAATAATGCCAAGACATTTATTCCAATTTTAAATCGGTCCGAAATTAATTTGATTTTTTCATTACAGTAATAAACTTACAAAAAAAGGTTTGATTTGGCGCAGTGTAGTAATGACGAAGACGGAAATGATCATCAAGTCTTAAGAAATAAGTATTGCCAAAAAATTGGAGGGTCCGAGATGTATAACTGCCGGAATTGTGGAACTGTAAATCGAGATAAAAATGAATTTTCCACACCATCTACAAGTTTTAGAGGTACAAGCTTCATTTTGAATAATGATGTGAACTCCCAATTCTTCTTCTTTTGCTCCTAGACGGCGAAATTTATAATGTGTCCAACCAAACTGTTTTTCGTGTAGCTTTTCATTTGTCATATTTGACACTTCAAAAGGTGGAATGATGATAGCATCAAATTCACGAGTGAAAAATAAAACTACTTTTCTGTGTATTTCATTTTGCAAATGAAAAATTTTACGCCTCATGCATGCCAGTGCTTTATCAAGTCTTTTAGCCTTATTTTTTCGTTTGAAAGTTGACCTTTTAAACTTGGTTTTTGTGATATTAAATTGTCCAAGTGCAAAAAATAACCGGTTCTCCTGAAATAGGAGTCATTGGCTGCCGCTTTACCTTTTGAAGATGCCATTGCTACCCCGAACAATGCGCCCAATGCCATGTTCACAAATCTTACCTATAAAAAAGGTAATGGTTGATGAGTGTTACAATTTTATTATTTTATTTATTATAACTTGATGGAGTTTTATAGACTTTGTTTGCCTTAACCCATAATTCGTGGTGTTACATAACATATACTCGCTTAGTAGAAGGGCCTATACTAAATCATTTCTCTTTCAAAAAGACAATTGTACTTGTATACGGTATTTTAAACTAAATTGTACTATTAGGCAGAAAAATTTTTTTCAGATGAACAACGGTATTAAAAATAAAATATTTCTTTTTCTTGTTCTTTTCTTTACACGTTCTATACTTTTTGGCGTTCGGGAAAAGGTTACCAATTCGTTCTCTCCTTAAAAAACTTTTATTTGAGGACGGTTTGTTTTACTCAAAAGGAAGAAATTGTTTGTATAGTATTCGACAGGACAAGTATGGCGCTTTCAGTACGACAATGATCCTAAGCATACTAGCCGTATTGCAAGGAATTTCATCAAGTCAATATAGTAGTCCCGACTTAACATTAGAGAGTCTATGGGATTACTAACGTGAATGAGGCAGCTACTAAGGTTGTCGGGCAAAACCTGGTTTCGACAGGATTCGAAATCGAAACTGTCGTAACCCATAGTCGAAACCCATGTTAACCCGTGGAAATCGAAAGTTTGACTTTTTCCAAATGGGATTAGGATTTTGCCCCGTGAACTTAACAGCGACCAAAAAATCTTAGCGATTGGAAGCATAATTCAGATTTTTTATTTTAAATTTGTTAAGATCGATGAGAAGGGCGTGAAGAAAGAGTTATGTTTCACATAAATTTAGCGTCTGCATATTTTTTATTGATAAATTTTTTAGTATTAAATTTCGATTTTAATATAAGGACGAAAGTATATGTCAATGATATAGCAAAGGAAGTTGAATGTTCACCCAGGGAACGTATTTGAGAAGAGGGAAGATTTTACCTTTTATCTCTAGAAGTTAAATCTTTTTGTTTTAAAAAAAAAAAATGCTTTTATACTACAATCTTACGTCAAACTTAGAGTATAAATGAATTATGCATTTTCACTTTTAGACATTCTTTACAAAACAAAAAACAAATTAAATAAAAATATAAGAAAGCTGTCAAAAAATTTTGTTGTTTGGACAAACAACGGCTCATAACGACAATTGCAACAACATCAACAGTTGCAACCTTTTAACAACATCAACTTGTAGAGATGAGAGACTTATGATGAAACCTCCGCATGGCACAAAATCGAAAAGGAGCTTCGTTAAGGAGGTAAACAAAATTTTTAATTTTAATTTTCGAAATTCCATCAACGCAAAAAAAAATTCGCACCAGTGGAGAGTTGGCTCCGAAAAAAAAGAATAAGCGTGCGTTTAGCTGAAGCAACTCCAGTTTAGCGGAAGAAATGCCTACCGATAGGAAGGTGTTATGTACAAGAACTTACAAGATAAGCTATAAAAAGGTAAGGATGTTGAGGCGGAGTCAGTAACCGCACTGTAATAACGGCTTACAAAGATTGAAAATTAGAAAGTGTAAAAATGAACTTTGGGAGAGAATAAATTGCTAGAAAAGAAGTATATTTAGTTCAAAGACTTCGAAACAAAATGCCTGCAACAAAAATAATCAAATTTTTATTTTATTTTTTTTTTTTTGCAACAGCAGCGGTAGCAGAAACAAGAAGATTCTCCACCTTCATTGAAGTGAGATGTTCCGAAGAAAGAATAAGTATAGATTCATCTCTAGGGATGGTAACGGTCGGTCAACGGTCGGTCAACAGTCGGTCAAAGACCTTTGACCGACGGTTACAGCTAATTTCAAAAGTCACGGGACGGACGATCATTTTGCAGATCGATAAAAAAAATTCGGTAAAGACTCGGTATAGAATTTTTTGAAAACAAACATTATACCTACGTTCAGATCAGTGTTCCGAATATAGCGAAATAATTTTTTTTTTACCTATATAAAATGTGGTTGGCTTTTTCAAATCCTTATAAATTTTCTCGGAAAAGTCTCGGATATTATCGGCTGTCCCGTGACTTATGAAATTAGCTTTAAAACATGGCATGGTTATTCAGTCTCAATCAAACGGTCGGTCAAAATCGGTGAGAATCGGTCGGTCAACCGGTTAGGTCAGAAGACTTTGACCGACCGATATCGGTCACGGTTACGACGGTCATGTTCGTGACCTCCAATTAGTGTCTATCGGTAGGGAGGTTCTATATACGAGAACTCACAAGATAAGTTATAAGATGCAAAGTTTCGGAGACACACGAGCATGCTGATACGGCAATCGTAAAACTAACAGATGCAATACAACTTGATATACAAATCATTCAGAAGGGAAGAAGGAACTGTGGCGTCATCAAACCGTACAGTATTCCATTCCGAAATGGCGTATTTGACGATATGTCCAAGTTCGAATTTAGGTTCATGCTTAAGTGGATTTTCAGGATTGAGACAATTAGAAATCGTGAACATTTGGGAATGCCAGATACAAGATGGCCCTTTGGAGATGATAAATAGTATGTATAATAGCCAAGCTACATTTAAATTTAGTTTTGAAATTCCTTAACACAGTAAGTGCAAAAGAACAAATTTTTATTGTTGCCGCATTAGCAGCAAACAGGGATTTTGTCACAAAATTCATGTGTTTCATTTTATTAAGCATTCTAAAAAATTTTCGGTAATGAAAAATCTACTATTCGTCAAACATTTGCACCACAATTAATTTCAGACGAATACCGTAATTCCGGCCATTTTTGATAATTACCCAGCAACATAACGAAAGCTGCGATTTTTTTGATGTAACCATTTGACCCAAATCCGGTTCCCAGACTAGAATTGATGAATATAATGTGAAAATTTTAAATTCTTAAAAATAATAAATGGTTATTTAATTTTTTTTATAAATGATAAATTTTAACTTTCCTAAAAAAAAAAGCTATTTCAGAATATTTCTTAAAAAAAAAAAAAAAAAATCAATTTGGAGCGCCAAAAATGTTTTTTAAAAATTGAATATATTATTTTTAAATTTTTCTAACTTAATAAATTTTATATTGCAAAGTTGTCTATGAAAACCGTTGAAAGGTAGCATCTTAATAAATTTAAAGTGATAAAATCATCATCTTTCAGTATATTTCTCATTTGACTATCTAAGTTATATAATTAACTTTTAGTTACTGTTATGAATTTGATAATAATTGAAATTTTTTAAACGCAGCCTGATAATAACTTTTATGAAATTTACAGAAATGAATTATTTTAGTTTTGCCAACTTTTGATATTTTATAAATAAATTTACGGCAAATGTGAAATACCAAATAAAGTTTATGATATTTTACGCGATTATACATACAAATTGAAACTTAATAATATTTAATAAGAAAAGATAAATAAACAAAGTTGCTTATTAATCAAAAATTTTTAAAAGAAAATATTTTAAATTTGCTAATACGGCATACTATTTTCTCTTTTTTTTCAAACCGACTATCGCTCCACTTACACCGGAAAGCCACCTGGACCAAAACTGGCGCCTGTGCCACAAAATTTCATTATTATTGAGTCAGCTATCTTTTTGAGTGACCTTTGTTTATAATCATATTCCCCCCTCATTGCTTCTTGGTTATTTTCAAGCCATGTAATCGATTGTTGAATTGCATCTTCAAGTTTCATCTTGCTTGCTAGGTCAAGATTACCAACAACTTGTTCGCTCTATTGATCACAAAAGATTTTAATTCGGAATAATGTATAATAAATATTAAACAAAACGCTTACGTGAAGTATATTACGTAAGTTATATGCATAACTTTCCAAACTATTTCGTGCCTGTATATTTTGTGCAATTTTCTCATCGTCTTCACGATATTTCTCGGCTTCAGCAACTATTATTGCATAGTTTGGTTAGTGAAAGACTTTTACATAAAAACTTCATCACAAAAATGGAATATGATTACATGCCCATACGTTCGATTTCTTCCTTTGACAATCGACCTTTATCATTCGTGATGGTCATTTTATTCGATATTCCAGTTGTTTTATCAACAGCGGATACCTACAATTAAATCAAGTTAAAAGACTAATATGAAAATGCAACAATAGCGATAATAAACTTGAATATCTAATACATGCGTTTAAGATACCGTTTGCATCGATATCAAAGGTAACTTCGATTTGTGGAACACCCTTTGGTGCTGGATGAATTTCAGACAATTTGAATTCTCCAAGCAAATTGTTATCCTTAGAACGGGCACGTTCACCTTCATAAATTCGAATAAGCATTTCCGTTTGATTTTCAAAATCTGTTGAAATAATTTCGGATTTCTTAGTAGGTACTGTAGTATTACGTTTAATAAGCGGTGTCATGACACCGCCGGTAGTTTCAATACCCAGAGATAAAGCAGCGACATCGAGTAAAAGTAAATCTTGAGTCTTTTCAGAAGCATCACCAGTTAAAATAGCAGCCTGAATGGCGGCACCATAGGCCATGGCTTCATCAGGATTAACAGATTTGTTTGGTTCTTTACCATTGAAGAACTCGGATACCATCTTTTGAATTTTAGGAATACGTGTTGAACCACCAACTAGAACAATTTCATGAATTTGACTTTTGTCTATTTTAGAATCTCGTAGTACTTTTTCAACATGTTCCATTGTAGATTGAAACAAGTCTTGATTCAATTCTTCAAATTTTGCACGTGTTAAGGAGGTATAAAAATCGATACCCTCGTAAAGGGAATCTATTTCTATGGAAGCTTTTAATGATGATGAAAGTTCACGCTTTGAACGTTCACAAGCTGTCCTTAATCGACGGAAAGCACGTGCATTGGTTGTAAGATCTTTCTTAAATTTTCGATTGAATTCTTGTACGAAATGATTTACAAGTCGATTGTCGAAATCTTCACCACCAAGATGTGTGTCACCAGCAACTGCTTTTACTTCAAAAATTCCTTCTTCTATAGTTAGGAGTGAAACATCAAAAGAACCACCACCCAAATCATAGATTAGAACGTTTCGTTCACCACAAGCTCTTGTATTCAAACCATAAGCAATAGACGCCGCGGTTGCTTCATTAATTATGCGTAAAACATTCAAACCAGCGATTTCACCGGCATCTTTTATTGCTTGACGTTGAGAGTCATTAAAGTAAGCTGGTGAAGTAATTACGGCATTATTAACTTTTGTACCAAGGTAAGCTTCTGCAGTTTCCTTTAACTTTACCAAGATCATAGAAGAAATTTCTTCGGGTGTGAAATCTTTCTTTTCGCCTTTGAAACTGACTTGTATATGAGGCTTTCCATTCTTTTCGATGATTTTAAATGGCCAATGCTAATAAAAAAAGATAAGAATTATAAATGCATTAAAATGCATTGCAGATCAAATTCGTATCATCGATGATATAATTTTTACCTTAATATCGGATTGAATAACTTCGTCGCTAAAATTACGACCAATGAGACGTTTAACATTAAATACAGTATTATAAGGGTTCATATTAACTTGATTTTTTGCGGCATCACCGATAAGACGTTCTGATTCGGTGAAAGCGACATACGAAGGCGTCGTACGATGACCCTGATCATTAGTAATAATTTCAATTCGATCGTTTTTCCAAACTCCAACGCAAGAATACGTCGAACCCAAATCGATTCCAACTAAATTTAACAAGAAAATTTTTTAAATTTGCGAATTTCTGTATTCATTGAATAAAAAAAGTTTTTTTTTTATGCATATATACCAGCTTTTCCATTCGACATTATAATAAATATATAGGTAGAATTATAGAAAGAAGGTTTTATTTATATTGAAAAAGAAAAAATGTTTTCATTCAAATATACAGGACTCATACGATGTAATCAACATTCTTAAAGAAAAGTCAAATTTATGAGTATTTTATTTAGAATGGATAAATATGGAACTTGTGACTGCCATATGACCACTTAATGATTTATTTAAAACCTGTTTTGTTGTTCATAATGGTTAGATCCTAGAAGGAGGAAATTAAGAAAATCCGGCAAAAATCCACTTTAATCTGAGGTTAAACCTCAGGTTTTTTGAACCTTATAAATGGTTAGGAAAAAATAATTTCTAATACCTGATTATTTATAATTTATTTTATAATTTTCTTTACTTTAACTATCTAAAAGAAGTCTTTCACTTGATTCTCCCCGTTAAACTGCGCAAACTGTTTTTTGTATAATAATTAAAATTAAAATAATTTAATTGCATTTGATGATAAAATTAATCCTAATTTTCGTTTTATTTTTACCTTTTTAATTTAATATTTCTTTTTCTTTTTCAGGTTTGAATGATTTTTTTCAGGGGGTTTTTTTTATTTGTTTCTTTAGCCTTTTATTATAAAGAACTATTGTGTCATTTTATTCAAAGAAACTTTAAAATCTTTAATTTAATGTAAAGATTTTAAGGAGACAAAAATTGATTCTAATAATTTAATTACGATACAATACCTGTTGCTTAACTTTATTTGGAAATCCAAATAAGATCATACAAATTGAATAATTTGCTGCGCATCGTTTCTATCGACCGACTACAAATGAAATATCACATGGAAAAAAATTCTTACACCAACTTACGTAATATAACGCGTCAAAATTTAGTAGTTATAGCAACATCACATTCAATTTTTTTTTTTTTTTACGAAAAATACTCTAAATTTCTAATTTGCGACTTTTTGTTGTATACTTCTAAATTATTTAAATTTTCAGCACCCATGTATAGGAATTACAACAATTGGACTACCCCATTTAAAGACTTATCGAAATTTATTTACATTATTTATTAAATAAAAGTTACTACTATAAAGGTGATGATAGAAATGTGACTGGCCACAGTCATATTGGTTCGAGAAATTAAATAAACTGGATGGATTTACTGCATTGCATATTAAACAAGATTGATATTTTTATATCGAAATACGTTTATCATATTTGATATATTAGTTTTTGTTAATATAAGTATAGCAGGAGTTCGTCCTTTTCAAAATATATGTATAATAGTTAGGAAAGTATGTGGATGAAGATGCGCCGATCTGTTAGGCAGCATCATATAATGAATTCTTTATAAACTCTATATTTTATAATTGTATTATTGTGCTACTATCCTCCAAATCGTTATAATATAAATCATATTTTTTTTGTTTCTGAATATATAAGCCCGAATCACTACAAAAATAAAAAAGTTAGCATGTGATAATGCATAACCAATCCTTTCAAACGCTGGTCAAACGCCATTTGCTTTTTTTTTTATTTTTTTTTATTTTATTTTATTTTTTAACAAAAATAATAACTTATTTAAGAGTATATTTCCAAACTCAAGTAGATACTCATTTAAGGAATCACGTAAAATTGAAGTTATGTTACTCATCACATGAAATCGTCAACTGTAATCATAATATCTGAAAAATCTGTTTTTATTTGAATTCCAATTTATTTTTTTATTTCCGAAACCGCATTTTCAATTTTTTATCTTTAAAATTGTTTTTCTGGCTGGATTATTAGACTATGTTTATAAATATAAGTGTACTTTTGGTGAATATTTATTTGAATTGTCCTATAAATTGTAATTACATCGGTTCGTTCTGATTTAGAATTTGTGCTGCGTAACTAATATTAAATAACTTCATACTTAATTAGAAATCATTAAAACTAATAAAAATAAAATACCTAAAAGACTTGTGGTTAAAAGGTGTCATTTAATCCAAATTATGCAGTTTTTCTGTAAAATTATGTCTGTAATCCTAAATTATTTAATGTAATGTTTACGCACAGCAGCAATAATTCACATTTTTCAATGGGATGACTCTCATAATGGCGCAGAAAGTTTCACTTTAAAACGTATATGCGAATTTAGGAGAAAATGTGTTTCTTGCCTCAAAAGAGGCAGACATGTTAACGTGTAACCAGTTACTGTATATCATAATATTTCGGTGAAAATTCATCATTTCAGAATTTAGTTTTCTATCTTACTTACCTCGCTTTCAAAGATTTCAGATGATTAATTACATATAAACTTCGAAACTTGGCAAATATATGGGACCTTTGCAGTAGCACAGCTTCTTAATTGCACTTATCTTATTTTAACATCATAAGGAAAAGGTAATTTGATAAAAACTGGAAATATTTTGAAGTTCTAGCAAAATAAACCAAATCCTATTACTCATAAATATTCATTTATAATATTTGATTTATTACGTAAGTTAATAAAATTTCCTTTATATTAAAACATTGTATATATCAAAGCAACTTTTAGAATGTGTGCAGATTAGTTTAAATTTACATACTAAATATTTTATTATAATCTTATAATTTGTCAAGTATAATATATAAAATGGCATTTGTTTATCTAATAAAATCTCATTTAACAAAGCGCTTATATGTTTTTTTTTTGTTTTGAAATTTGATTTATTAAAATAATACAGTATAATCTAATTTAAATTCGAAAAACAATTTTTTTAGAACCTATTACTAGCAGATTAGTTTGTAGTAGACTTTTTTCAACCATTTCCTTCTATCGTTATTGCTTTCTAGAGTTCGTCCATAAATTCAACATAGCTTCAATACATGTATCTTCTTAGATCAAACTTGATGATGCACTTAACGTACTCTGTGAATGTTCATTCTATGATAATTAGTAATTCCTTTGGTTATTGTAAAATAGGTGCTATGCGCATCGCTACGCCCTTCATTTCTGATTATTATGTATTTGTTTTTGAAAGAAGAAATTTTATTTTTTTTTTGTGGGCTATAGCAATGGATAGTTGGATGTTCAGGTACTAATATATATGTAACTTTTTTATTTTTAGTTTTTTTTTGATTTTGATTATTATATTAATTATTGTAATTTTAATATTTTTTTTATTAGGTTTTTTTTTTCAGATTATGGCTCCAACTTTATTTTTTATTAGACGATTCTTTCAGCATCAAATGCATTTGTAAATTTTTTTTATTTATAAATTATTTTGCTTTCGCGATGGCTAAAAAAAAAGAATTAGTCATTCAACGGTTAAAAAGATTAAAGTTAAAATTAATTTTTAAAGTATTGTGAGTAATAATCTGAAATAATTTACGACTATAAAAGAACTCAGCACACGATTTAAAACAGATTACTTAAGATAAAAAGAAAAATATTTTTTCATGGTCTTAATGATGAGACGAAGAAAATTTTTAGTGTTAATTAAAAATAATATTATAAACCATCTTATACTATTAATATTAATACTTAATGTTAAAATTATTTTTACTATTTTTGTTCATCAATACAATTCAAAATTCTTTTAAACACTTATATTAATACCAACGCAAGCTTCACTTTAATATCAATTCTAATTCAAAATATTTAAAACACATTAATAATATTCTATTGAAGCACAATATACTTGCCTGCTTATTAGATTCCTTAAAGCGACAATAATGTTTGTTTTCTAAAAATAATCTTTATAAATAGTTCATCAGCGCTTGAATCTGAACAATCAATTTCTAAATTAATAAAAGCATCACACCAAACTCATCACAATATTGCACACTATAATCTTTAATACAATATATATTAAAACATGCGCTCAGTTGATTGGAAAAAGTTGTATCTTTGTACTAATAACTATATTATCAGTAGTTATTTCAGTCTACATCAGGCTAAACTAACAAATAGTATGATATGCCTATCAGAGGTTTTTCTATCAATTTGGGTCTCATTCTAACTTAAATAAATATAAAATATATGCATGAGAATTTATAATTTTTGGTATTGATTAATTAATATAGAAACTTATCCAGCTTCTTCTTAATTCAGATCATACTTTATCTATTTGCAATTACTACTAGAATGTTTGATGGTTTGTATTTTGTCACACAAGTACAGTGCATGCTGCATGTTTTATATACAATTAACAAACAAAATAATTTATTAATATATATTACAATATATTTTTATTTAATTACTTATATTTTACCAAGTTTTTATAAGTTCTAAAGAATTATTAAAGTCTACCAATTTTTTCTACTGTTTATTCATATTCTTCTTCTTTTTCATTATTATTATCTAATATTTCATCATCTAATAAGCTATTATTAATATTATCATCTTTTTTCTAATCTTTTTATATAGGATTTTACATTAAAGACAATACCTTTTTTATAGAATTCTAAACAATAATTTACACTTATTATTTTGTTCTACAAAACATTTGTAATAAAAAGCATGTCTACATATCAACATCTAAACATTTAAATTTTTGATTATAATAATCACAAATATTATAAGATGGTGGTTTAAATGTATAATATCTAATAGGTAAGCATTTTAATTTACTTTCTGATTTAATATTGATAGATAATATTCATTTTTTTTAATTTTTTTACTTTTTTTAAATTTTTAAAATTTTGATAAAAGTAATTAATAAAGAATATACTTATTTTATATTTTAAAAAATCTGAAGTAGATTCTTTATAAGAATAATTTTTTATTATTCTAAAAGTATTAAAAAAAGTTTGATTATGTGATTCTAATACAAATGCTTAAGAAATAATAGCATTTAAAAAGTTGTATTTCTTCTAATTTTACTATGCTAATTTTTAACATAATAATACAAGTTTAAATTGTTTCAAGAAATGAATAAATTACTAATAAATAAGCATAAAGAAGACTTTGGTAAAAAAAAATCATTTAAACTTTGTGAAAAGAATGTGAAAAAATAAATCGTAGAAAAAAAATATATTACAAATAAATATATAAGTACTAT